AGAGAAACACTGCATTCTTTTTTTTTCTTTATTCTGACACGGAGCCGTGTCAGAATAGAAAAAAATTAAATAGTTTTGCCCATAGGAATGCATTGCTAGATTCCTATTGGCTATTTCAATTTGCAATAGCCAATAGTAAACAAGCATTGCACCTGCCCTCTGCTGCAGTTCTCAATCAGGTCCTCCGGCAGAGGGCGGGTGCAATGCTAGTTTACTATTGGCTATTGCAAATTGAAATAGCCAATAGGAATCTAGCAATGCATTCCTATGGGCAAAACTATTTAATTTTTTTCTATTCTGACACGGCTCCGTGTCAGAATAAAGAAAAAAAAAGAATGCAGTGTTTCTCTCCTATGCGGCCGGGAGCAGGAGACTCCCGTAGCGCCCGGGAGAGTTTTTTTCTCTTTCTTTTGACGGCAGTAGAACCGCCGGACAATAGAAAACTGTTGGGCGGAGCTAGCTGTCATTGCTAGCTCCGCACAATTGTTTTCTATTTATTTTTTTGTACTTTTTAAACTATTTTTCTGTTCTGCTCGGTCCCTCAGAGGGACCGAGCAGAACAGCCGAGCCGAATGCCGTGTGGCGGCATTCGGCTATTCACTCATTGCTGTTCGGCATCTCTAAGATTTTGGGCATGTTCGGCCGACCTGAAGCCACGTGAAGCCACCCGATGTACGGCTGATTTCAGCTGATGTACGGCTGATTCCAGCCGCTATACGGCTGAAATCAGCCTTACCAGCCTGAAGTGATTAGCCGAACAGCGTTCGGCTCACTTCGCTTTAGGTCAGTTATTCACTCGGCTGCCTATGGCAGCTTAGTGAATAGACCCCTTAGTTTTCCCCTACGCTATTATAAAAGGTTGAACTAACATTCCAGCCGGACTACAGGTGGCCCACAATCCTAAAATGTGTCATATGCTGACACATTTAAAGGACACATCCAAGTGAAAGTGTGGTACTATTGGCCCTTTGGCTAGGAATTTTTATTTATTTACCAACTTCTTGACAGAAAATTCTGGCGGAAGGCATGGATGTCTCATCAGATCTTTGCATAAGAGCCGAACAGACCTTAGCCCAAGAAAGATCACAGTGGAGTGAAAAAACACATTAAAAAAAATAAACTTGATGAAAGAAAACAAATCAACAGCAGAGGGCCAAAAATATGTGACTTGGTGTACAGATTTGCTGAAGGGTATATAATCATATTACAGCTTGTAAAAGGGTCAGCAAGAACACATTAATCGCTATACAAGTATACTTTATTAGAAAAGAAATAAAGCGTAGTAATGTTAGAAAACCAAAATTGTTGTTATAGCTGTTGGGATAAAATCACACACAAAAGCATTATTTTAGGTTAAGAGATAAGCAGCCAGTGCTGCGCAATGAAATAATGCTCACTAGATACTCCCATTATTGTTATATATGACAACACTGTAGGTGTGAGCATTCCAAATCGCGGAACTGTGTATGTGTTTACTCATTTTTCATGGAAATAATCAGATCTTGACTCAAAAATGTAACATGGCTTAATCATAACCCCCATTTGGGGGAGGGGAGGCATCAAGTACTGCTTTCTGCAAGTACTTGCTCCTAGTTCCATATTTGTCTCCTAGACGAAGACAACATACCCTCTGCCTAGTCCCACCAATCCCCTGCCCGCAGCCTGCTGGGGTATATATTACACATCCCTTCAGCCCTGTATCACACATGTGTAGTAAGGTGCTGCCTGCTGCAAGTCATTGGGAGGGGGACATGCCAGTTCCATGGTCTAAGTGCCTTATATTTATAAGTGCCTTATAAGTCCCTTATATTTTATCAAAATCGTTCAATTTCTCATGCCATTTAACTGTCCAATGTTATGAGAGTTTCTGTGCAGTCCTATAGCTATACAGTATGTCAATATTCAAGTGAATTTTAGAATTCTATTTAAAGTGTATGTCCAGGCAAGACTTTTTTTCTTATGTTTGGATAAAGTGAAAGAGGGTTAGAACTAGGGATGCACACATACCAGTTCAGATACCAGTGCTGATACTTGGAATTTTCATGAGAACTACCAGGCTTGCAGTGGTCCCAGCTGCAACAGGGCCCTGGGGCTCGACCACTGTCATAAAATCATTAGTCTGTCTTAGAAAAAACTGTCACATGACAATAAACAAAAAATATATCAGTAATTGGTATCTCTGAGGACAAGTATTGATACTTGTACATGGTCTGGAAAAAATGGTATTGGTGCATCGCTAATATATAAAACAAATCATACATTTAAACAGAGATGCACAAATCCCAGGAGCCCCATAGCCAATGCTCTTTAAAAATGACAGCTGCCTCCTAACTTTTGAGTTTTTCTCTAGTCTAGTAGCTGGAAAAGTATCAGTACTTTTACTTGTACCAAGTATGTACCTAGTTAGAACCCCTTTCAGCTAACTCTCCAAGAACCCTGATAGCAGTATAAACCCAACAGTAGTTATAATCCCTCCCTGCTCTAATCCACAACTAGAAAACAAATATTTTTGGCTTGTCATGAATATATAATATCATTTTGTATGTTCAGCTAAAATGGCAACAATACTTTTTATTTTATCCTCCACATCATGAACAAAAAAATCAGAAAAAACCTGGACCAGTACCAATTTAATGTTATGAATATACTGTATTTACAGCTACCCTTTGTTCTATTTTTTTTAAGTACATTGCCCGCTAGCTTTTGTATCCTTAACAGACTATTGTACAAAAGGGTTCCAAAGTAATTTTAAAACATTTAAACATACTGCAGGATCAACATTTCAAAATCATCATTTGAACTCAGGCCTTCATTAAACCAATGATGTTAAAGACCTGTATGCTTTTGTTTTAATGATCACTTCCCATTAAGGCCAACAAATAGTGCAATGTATTCAATACTTTAACATTCAATGCTCATTTAGTAGAACCTAACCTTTCAAAACTTACTTTAGTAATAGCCATATACTACCATGTTAGTTATTTCCAAATTAGTGTAATGCCTTTCTAAATGTTAGCCTATTCTGCTGTTTTAATGTTGCATGTAACCTTGGAATTTAGTTTTTTTTAAATTAATGTAAGTACATTGAAATATACAGCTGGACATATACCAATGCTATACCATCAGAATAGATATGGTCACAAAGAAAACTTCTCTATTGTGCTATTATTTAACTGTTAATCACTTCTCATATCATGTGACTGGTTATGGGCTTTGCAGCTAACTGAAAACAATTGTGAACTGTAGTGGATAATTAAGACTCAAATAGCAGCTTGCAATCACTGTGATAAGTTGCAAAGTCAACAACTAACTACGGGATATTAGTGGCGATTCTTGAAACACAGCTGTGTGAAAACAAAATGTAAGACTGTTTTATACATGTTAGGCTACGTGCATGACTTTTCAATCTTGTACTTACTTATGGTGACTGTAAAAAGATTCAAGACTGACGCAGAAAAATAAAATTTTCTATATAAGTGTGTGACACTCCACACGCATGTGGATAAGATATCACAGCAGTGGAGCTCAAGAGAATGTCATGACATTGAAAAACATTTTTTAATGGGTTTCATTTTTTTTACCCAAGCTCAATTCATCATTGCTGATAAATAGGAAATTAACATAAATGATGTACTAATGATTGTTTTGTAGACAGCTATGGAGAGATTGCCTGACAGGCACTGAAATGCAGAGGATAACGTTTCTTTAAAAATGTTTTTTTTTTCCTCCATAGATTCCAGTGGAAAAGCCTGTAGAGATACAACCTCTCCATTGGGGCCTATGGAGAAATGTTTTGTGGCCCACCAGCTTAAGAAGATGGCTATAGCACTGTTTAGGTTGGCATAGACCATGGCGGATGAAGAAGTTGACCGCCTAACCTCGGGTCTGCAGTTGGAGGTATTGGAAGATGGTGGAAGAAGTGGACAAAACATCTTTTTAAAAGTAAACTTATCCTTTAAAGATCATGTTGGGTGAGGGAACTGTAAGAAGGTCTGAGCACTGGTTTGTAAATGATTCCTATGATAATATATATCTGTCTCAATGGTGACTGTGACAGATGTGCAATACCTGGTGATACTGATGTGCCTGATTAATTAGTGCTGCATTTTCGGGGCTTGCTGGTTTAACATTTTTATTACAGAACTCCTTGAGGCAGACCTCTTATAAAACAAAAGAAAACTTGAGTAAAAAAAATAAAAAGTAAATAACATTCTTCCTTATTTCTTTGGGCTTGTACAGAACATTTCTCATTGTATCCTTTAAGTCATATCACTATAGCACTGCATGTTTTTTTTACTTGCAGAGATCGGGAAAGGGTTAGAACATATATCATGTTTTAAATGAGGATATTTTTATGCAAGGATCTAAAGGTCCTGCTGGCACTTTTAACTTTCTTCACTCGACTAGAAAAAAAAAAGTGGTGTGTGCTAAAAAAAATTCCAATGTGCCTATAGAATTGAATGAAATGTCACTTGTAACATTTCAATAAAGTTCTAAAGAAAAGTATGCAGTGCAAAATGCAGGGTTGGCACATGGGCACTATGTCAAGCACCGCACACCAACCGATGTGCACTTTGCGCAGCGGTTGGTGTGAATGGACCCATAGTTTAAAAAATGCTTTATATGAAACCTTTGTTTATTAAAAAAACAATGGTATAATATTCTGCCAATAGCAAACATGTACAGTACTGCTGTCGGTCACACCTGTAGGCTATTATTAAATTACTCTCAGGCATACATAACAAAACAACATACTATACAACACGAGTAAGAGAAAGTACATTTTTTCTAAAAAAGATTAACACATTTTCATTATAGTTTATTTAAAGAATTGTATTTAATTCCTTTTTTTTTTACATAAGTTAAACCCAGTTTACAGCTCAGGTAATATAAACATGTGTTGAATGAGTAACTTTTAACCAGTATTAACAAAGATGAACATCATAAGAGAAAAGATCAATTGCAAAGTTACAAAATAAGAGAAGTGAAAAGGCACATACCTTCTTTCATCTGGTCTGTATGATGAGGAGGACCGGCCACTGGTCCAAATAAACATCTTAGAGTGTGGTCCAACTTTGCCTTTCCCGACAGCGATGGGCTTGGCAGATTGATGTAGTGACCTGAGAGACGGATATTTTGAGTCACTTCTTTGAAGAACATGTTGACAATCAGTGCCCATTGCCTAAACACTGAACAATGCTACTTTATCTTTCCAGATAACACTCAAAGGATTCTCAAAAGAAGAGGAAAATTCCCTGATTAGTAAAAGCGATATGTAAAATAATGGCTCTCCTCCTCTCTTTGCAGTTTTAATTGGCAGTTCTATCTCTTGCTTTGATTTTCACACATTCAATTCCATGAGCGTGAGATAAGGCACCCTTTATTTCTGCCATAATAGATTTGCTACTGAATACGTAGAAACAGCAGCGACCTAGTAGCTGTAAAGTCATAATCCTCTGGGCTTTTAAGAAATTGTCATTTTGGATGCTACAGTTTTGTGTTTCATATAATCCGCCTGTTTTTCTTCTAATTCTTTGTTTCCTGAGTAGAAATGTATCCAATGTAATTAAATCAGTCTATGGTGCATTCAGTCCACATTGATCTGCTACCAAACCTGTAGTTAAATCTCACTGCAGCGTAAACCACAGTTCACTCACACTGCTCAAAAGAATCTTAGCAACCTGGCCAGGTGCTGCTGTTCCATGATGTCTGATGACCAGTGATGCAAACAGAGAGCCTTTTAAGGCTTGTTTCCTTTATCCTATTACTGCATTTTTTTAACTAGTTGATAACCTGTGTAAGCAGTACTGCAAGAAAAGGAGGATATTTCTGTGAACTCTTCCAAGACTATTTTAAAACTGCAGCATGTTCACAATATCTAACAATTAGCTTCAGAAAATAGTTTTCTTGCATATTACAAAGAATTAAAACAAATGTTTGAGTGGTAGCTACTGATGATGCCTATTTTTTTTATTATATATAACAAGTTAAGTAAGAGACGGAAAACAACAAATATATTAACACACCCATTGGTTTATTGCTTTATTTTTTTAAACATTTTAAAAAAAATCCTAATTGCCACACTCCAGCTTTAATGTGGACCTGAACTCAATGGGTGAAGGTTTGCTATGTAACAAGGAGCACAGGAAACAAATTTACCTTTTGTCTTGAATTACTCCTGTAAAATAGCAGTGCAATTCCTGGTAGGCATGGTGCCTACAGCTTCACAGCTGTATATCTGCAGTGTGAGATCTAAGGCATCTCTGCCTCTCACTGCTACTCTCAGGAGATTTGGAGTGAGATTTGATGATGTCATGGAGCTGCTACCTACTGTTCCCTTTGCTGGAAACTCTGACATTAGGAAGCAAAGCCCTGTCTCTAGTAAGACTGCTACCTCCACACCCCAGTATAGAACAAAGCATGATAAGTCAGTAGTGGGGGAAACATCAGCTACAAAGAGATCACAACCTGCTCCCTCCTAGCCTAGCTGAGTAATATTGATGTTAAAGGAGAACTATGGGGTTAAGTCTTTTCCCCATAGTTCTCCTTAGGGTAACGGGAGGACACAAACTAGCGTCCTCCCGTCACCCTAGGCTCAGTGTACCGAGAGCTGGATCTCGCGGTATACTGAGACGCCGCTGTATACCGCGCGCTGCTACTCGCGGTATACTGAGACGCCGCAGCTGAAGCGGATCCCGACAATTGTGCCGGGATCCGCCCAGCTGCGTGACTGACAGCTGGCTCTGCTTATCTAGAGGCAGAGCCAGCTGTACCCACCCCCTCCCCCGTCCAATCCACCAGTCAGCGCTGACGGATCGGAGCGGGGAATCCAGCCCCTCCCCTGTCACGGCAGAGAGCCGTGACAGGATCGAGAGGTGAGCGAACACATACCGGCGTCATCCCGGGATCGAGTGGTGAGCGAACACATACTGGCGTCATCCCGATCTACTGAGCCGACCTGTGACAGTCTCATTGTCACTCACCTCATAGTTCTCCTTTAATGAAGAATAGGTGTTTTTTTGGGCGGAGCAAGGGGAGCTGGAATGGGAAAATCATAGTTTCCAATTATCCTTCATGAGGAGGGACAGTGCCTCTTTTACATCCACATTTATCTGGTACTCTTGCCCCTCACTTGTTCCTCATTTCGGTCTGATATATAGACCTTTTAAAAAAACAATGTACTACAAAACTTCCAAAAGGCTTAAACTGCAATAACTTTTCATTACACCTCTGAATCATTGCATTTGTCATTTTATAAAGCCAGTATAAAGGAGACATATTGGTAATAAAGCATTTGTGGGTTTAACCAATACATTTTTTGCATATTAATTCTTCCTGGTCTGTGTAACTGAAGGCATGGCAGGGGTGTGTCAATTGACAACATACTGTGTACTGCTAGGTGTTCGCCTTTCTCATCTTAGAAAGTTGGGAGGCATGGAGAATGACTTCAACAACTCGTGTACTTCTGTTGTGAACTTTAAGGATTTATTACTCCAAAGTGCCTGCAGCCTTTCTGTTTAAAGTTCATTCACTGCTTGATTAGAAAATGTAAAAACTTGAATGACCATAGCCAGGGCAGAGGTTCACTTTAAGTTAAAATCAGACTTGTAGTGGGTGTAGCTGCTCTGTGAGTTGAAGGGTGGGTGAATGAGGTGCTTGCTTGGTCTTAAAAGACTTATATAACTCAAGGAGGGCATCAGTAGGGTTGAGTCCTCCTCATGCAATGGAGCCATGTTGCCCTGTGGGTGAGAGTAGTTTACAAAATGATGTGGATTCATTTACAAATCTTTTGGCAGTTAAATAACTGCCTACTGACTATTGTAATGTGTTTGAACTCTGGATTTGGCTGTTTGAGTAGCATTGCCATTTTATTCAATAAACTGAAACTTTTCATTCCCCAAGCATGCAGACAGAAGGGCACCTTCAAATTCCAGCCCAACTGTTGTTTTAAGCAGAGGTGTGTGTACTATAAAATGGGCCTATGGTGTCCCACCCTGGTTCCTGGCATCATTGGTTGCCAGGAACTCAGCAGGATGGCTGCCAGAGCAAAAAAAAAGGAGGCTGTCTCTGTGGTTTGGCAAACTTTTGCTGACCCACGTAGCAGCGCCCCCTTCAAGTGGTGCCCAGGGCATTTTGCCATGCCCTGGATACGTCACTGGTTTCAAGTGCAATCTTTCTTTTTCAAAGAATACTGCCTAAGTAGACTTGCCAGTTCTGTTACAGCTATGCACATTGACTTTTTGTAGTATCTAAGGCAGGGGAGGGCAACTCTGCCACTCCAGCTGTGCTTTAACTACAAATCACAACATGTCTCTGTCTCTGGTAGTCACGTCTTTAACTGTCAGTCTTGCAGTGCCTCATGGAACTTGCAGTTCCACAGCAGCTGGAGGGCCGGAGTTGCCCATCCCTGATCTGGGGTCTCCATCTATAATTACTTCCACAGGCTGCTGACGCATGCAGAGAGCAGTGACACATGACTTTCAGGAAGGGCAGAGGAGTCTTTGACATGTGTGCTGTACCATGTACCTTAGGGTCACCAGTTTTGCACCAGTGAAATGTCAGTAAGTTGGCCATTCATATTTGGCAGCATAACCTGTGGCCACTAAAAATAGAGAGGGTCACTTTAACTGGAGTACAGTAATGAAAAAATGTGCTGTTAAATGTTTTCAGATTTTAGCTGTCCTTATTACCGGGCATGAAAACAATTTGTTATGGGTAAAACCTTAGCTTTTACTTTGCTACTTTTCTTTAAAAAAAAATAATGATTCCTAATAGCATTAATCTATTACAATTGAAAACCTTGTAAGTGCTATACTTTCATGTACATCAAAATGTAATTTTTATAAGAAAGGGTTAGAAAATGAATACAGTTATTTAATAGATCTCTATGGGAAGAAATCGCTTATATGTGAACTGACCTTTCCAATAAGTTTTATAGATCCTGAATACTCTAGATAATAGTCTATTTGCTCTAAAAGTGGAGGTACGTAGGCTAGGCATAGTGCCCATAGCAACCTGTCAGTTTTCATTATCTGACTGGTACTAGAAACATACAAGTTGGAGTCTGGCTTGTTTTAACCTATGCCGTCCTTTCCACCAGTGCTATAAATCAGTCCCAGGCTTTCCTTGAAATGTCTGTTATTTTCGAAATCTCAGGCTGGGACAGAAGCTGACTTTTAAAAGAACATTCAGGCTGTGCTAATCCCTTAGCAAGAATAACAAATATTCATATTTTTATTATAATATAGGATTTATATAGCGCCAACAGTTAGTGCAGCGCTTTACAATATAAGGAAGACATTACAATCACAATACAATTCAAGACAAGATGGTAAGGAGGGCCCTGGCCCTGAGGGCTTACAATCTAAAAGGGAGGGAGACGTGATACATGAGGAGGTAGCTGTGTGGGGTGAATTGTTTAAGAACGTGATGGTTCAGTGGTTAGGTTGAGGTGGGATATATACTAAATACATATGACAGATGCTTTGAAGAATAATAATGAAAGTATTGCAATAAAACAAAAGTGGCTAGATTTATCTGCTGGAGGCCTCAAAAAAGAATGATTCTATATTCTGCCAACTCATTTTAAAAACATACTTGCTTAAGATTCATTGGTCTGCTGAGTCTCTATAGAAACATGTAAGGAAACCTTTTTTCATACCCAAGCATTTGGGAAGCTAATAATATACTTAAGCAATGTGAAACCCACATTTATTAAACACTGCTATTAAGGTGTTGCTGATTTTAGAGTTACATAAGTATATACAAATTCAAGAATAGATTAGATAGGTAGATAGATAGATAGATTGATTGATAATATATAGATAGCTGGGTAAATAAATAAATAGATAGATAGATAGAAAAATTGATAGATGATATATAGATAGATAGATAGATAGATAGATAGATAGATAGATAGATAAATAAATAGATAATACATAGATAAATAGGAAGATAGATAATATATAGATAGATAGATGGATAGATAAATACATTGATAGATAGATAATATATAGATAGATGGATAGATAGATTATCCACAATGAGGGCTTTTACAAAAAGTGTAATGATTATACGTGGGTGAGCTTATTTTGGCTTAGAACCTAACAATTGGGTATAATGTACACAATGTACCTTATTCCTAAAACGTATTGGGAACGTTTGATGTCCATGGCAATC